TAAATAGCTTTAAATGAATATCTCTTTCTGTAAAGTTTTCTTTTGCTTCTTCCATTAAAGAAACTAGTGCTTGAAAAGTTTGATCGGTGTTTTTCCGGATAAACTGTTTTGAATGACACCAAAAACCTTCGATGGGATTGGTTTCACAGTGAAATTTCGGTGCAAAAATAATTTTGATACCATATTTGGCTCCTAACTTTTCAAGTTTGCTAACCTATTGATAGAAAATCAGACAAAAATGATAATGCGCATTTTTGGTTTATGACTAGTTCAAATCAAGTTTCACTCACATTTTTAAAAGCTGCATGTTCAGACACGATCTCTTTTAACTCAAGTAATTTACAATTTTGCGGTATATGAAGATTTAATTCTTCTGCTAATTTCAATAGGCCTTTACTCTCCCCATCATCATCATAACACTCAATGGTTACTTTGACATTCTGATCATCAACATATTCAATTGCATCAACTGGACATCGTCCACCAGGCTTCATAGCAAAATCATTAACACTGTATTCAGCTGCTGTGTGTGTACGGGCGTTGTCAACAAGACAAACAAAATCATGATCTTTGTACGCTACTTTAAAATATAATAGCTGAAATAGACGTTCAAATTGTTTTAGGATTGTTTCATTATCAAAGTAGTTATTTCCACCAATGTTCATTGTTGCTGATGCAGTTTGTGTTTCATAAGTGATATTTGAATCATTATTTAAATCGGGATATTTATTTGATGCCCGTTTAAATTCTTTATCATTCAATGAAAAAAATGGTCCACTATCGTGCATTACCAAAAACTCAGATGCCATAATACTTCTCCCACGTCCTTTGTTGTAGAACGGAGCATTATCTTCAACTATCCAACGTTTGGCAGATATTTCCCCGGATTTATAGGTGCTTTCATCGTGACCTTTAAAGACAAAATTCAGAAAAAGATGTTTTAATGAGTCTGAGAATTAACATCAACCAACAAACTTCTTACATAATAGAACAATTGGATGACCCGTTGGTTTAACCCACTTAGGTTGTTCTCCCTCTGTAATTGTATAAAAGTGATCTTTATGTTCCATAAAATATGTGACAAATTGTTCTCTGTGTTGAACAACATCCTCTCTCTCATGACCTAAGAAATATGGTCTTGCTTTATTTTCTGTATATTTGCAACCAAATCGTCGCAAATCTAATCTGCAACTTTCAATCGATCTGATCAGTTTATCTTCAGCTTTTTTCAGATTGTTTAAGTCGTAAAAGCGCTCATCAATAAATTTTGCAAGTGTTTCTAAAAACAATAGAGTTTATGTAAAATGAAACATCTTCTCGTGCATATTTCGCAGAAATATATTCTCACCAGCTGTAAATGTAGCTTCTTTTTTTGAACATTCTTGGAAAGCAAAATCTTTAGCTTCCATTTCTAAATCTGTGTGCAAATCCCAGAAACTGTCACATTGTTTTCCTCCTACACGTTACATGAAAATTCGCTTTGCACATGAAATACAATGGTTTTAATTCAGCTCACCTCGTCCATCTTCTATAAAATCATCAAAGTCATTATGCACTAATAGATTAGTCCATTTCTGACACGTTTTAGCTGTCAATCCTCCAATTGTTGTTAAAAATGAATCCACAACTCGACGTGTGTGGCCAAAACGACGTAGTGACATATAGACAAGAGTACTGAGAAAACGAGTATTAATTTGTGTGTTACAATAAGAAAACAGATCAGAAATATCATTAATTATTGAATCATTTTGGAAATCAATATGATCAATTTGATCATCAAGTTTAAATAAAGTCGTGAATTCTTCTTTTTGTTGTTCATAAGAATAATCTTCAGATCTTTTTGAAACGAGACTCTCTTTTGATCTTCTCGTATTGAAAGCAACGGTGTGTCTCAGGCGTTTACTGACAGGAGGCATTTTAATTTTATGCAAAAACTCTGAAAAACTTCAATCATTTTTATCTGCTGAAATTCGTACAGCTATTTCTTGCGTCCATTGTTTCGAATAGTTCATTAGAATTAATACTGACTCGTCCACTCACGTACCATCGAAAAATGGCGCTAGACTCCAGTTCCTTTTACGTGCGAATATTTATTTAGAATAAAAACTAATTTTCACCTCGCAAAATTTTTCCAGGGGTCCTCTGAAGGCTCGCTAGAGATCTCAAACTATGTTCACTAGATCCGCAATGATATTTAAGCTATTCAAATGTATTTTCATAAAATTTGATTGAAAAATGCATTTTTTGTTAGAAAATCACTTTAACGATTTATAGATGTGTCGAAAGAAAACGCTACATCTCAGCCTAAAAGCTTCATAAAAAAAAATGTAAGGCTATAACTTTGTTGCGCGTCAAACGGCGGTTTCAATGACGTTTGAATGAAGTCTCCACCTAGTCAGCAAAAAAACTAGATACGTTTACAAAATCAGACACTGCAGTCGGAGTGATGATACAGTCGGAATTTCTGTACTGGATACGTTATATGTGAACGGACTCTAGTTAAGATTTCTAGACTCAGTTTCATACGAAGAATCTGAGTATGACCTTGAAAATTGGAAGAAACGAAAAGAAAAAAAAAATTTTTCCGACATTTCAAAAAAGTAAATTTTTCACATTTTTTAGGTCTTCTCACAATTTTGCACTTTTCTTCACGAAAAAAATTTTTTAAAAAAAAAGCAAGGTCATATTCGTGATCAGCATCACACGGCGAATCCAACCATATGTGTTTAAACGAAAAATAAAACTTGTGGAAGTTTTGAATTACGCGCACCTTACTTGATATGATTCTAGTTGTGTATTGAAAATCTTTACCAGTGCATAATTACATTAATGATATTCCTACGGCTTTTCGGACTCTCATTCAGTAGCTTTTTGTTTTGACTGAAATTATAAGCGTATGGGTCATATCTATGGTCTGCTTTACTTTAACTCCTGCGTTCTTGCAGACGGATGAGTGTTGGTGGGTGTACATCTCTAAAGTAGATCATACTTCTACGTTGGTGCATGACCACTTCTCCCGCTGAGGATACCGTATCTCCAGTGGGAGAAGTGGCAGCATCTCCAAATCTTGGGATATATGACACTACTCTCATAACTCGAACTTTTCTCTAATATATATATAACACCTTCTCGATCTTTGATGACAGTAAATGGAGAGCTCTACTCGAAAACGAAACGCGGTGCGAAGCACGATGTACGGGTTAGCATAAAAACTATATCATAGAATAAATATGAGTAAATTTTTGCATTATCGATAGGTAAATAGTTAGTTCCTGACAATTTCACACTGTTGGGAAAATATTTGTCTGTTTCGCATATTGCCAGGTGAAAAAATCATAATGTGTTTGATCAGATGACTAATGTCAAGATTAATGTGAAAAATTATTATCATTTTGTCGAGCGATTTCAGCAATTTAATAACGTAGAATAATAGTATCGTATAAATGTATGACAATTGCAGACTTTTGATGCATTGTTTGTTTTTTCTTATTTATTTTCATGCATAATAATAACGAATAGAAATTTTAGTAGTCCTCTACAAAATTTTGATAATTAATCGCAGCTAGGATCAGCGCTAAGTCTCGGTGTGTTCGGATCGAGTTTGTGAAAATAAATCCAAATATTACTAATAATATCTGGATTTTACTTTGGGCGAACGATATGCCATAGACCAAATCGGACAAAATTTGGTAGATATTCAGATCTTGACGATTCTTATGATGTTTCGACGACTATCAGACGATGTGCCATTCTCTAGATCACCGCGACACAAAATATGGAGTTTGGATGCGGATGTCAAGAAAGAAAAAGAATTCTCAATAGATCGCTATACAGCGTTTCGCACCGTAATTAGATCTTATAATAGAAGATATTCATAAATCGACAAGCTAATTACAATAATTATTTTTCGAACACTGGATCCATTAAAATGTTCAAAAGTTACATGGTATCGTTATACCAAAAAGGCTGTTATTAAATGTCAATTATATGATTATTCTAGCTAGAAAAAACTGGTAATAGTCTATCTGATGTGATTAACCTTGTTGTGTTTTATTTTAAAGCTTATACCTTTTTTTTAAAATAAAATGCAACTAGTTCAGTGATTTTGTGGTTTTTCAATCTAAAATAAAGTACCGAACTTTAAAGACGAAAAATAATCAGATAAAAAGTGGATGCGTTGCCTCAATATTCACAGCGATGCTCTCTCAACAACTCAACACATCTCGGCACCATTCGACTACAAAGAGTTCTAACTGTCGTCTATAAATTATAGGAAAGCTACAATATCTGGTATTTAGAAATTCGTAGAAACCTGCAATACGTTAGCATCATTCGAAGAGAGAAGTGCCTTTTTCGTGAGTGCGTTATCAGCATTTATTTGAAGTATAAAAAGTACATGGCAAAGCGAACCTACATGAAACCCATAGATGGCAGATTGTGTTGTTGCTGACATGTGTACTAATAAGTTCACAGCGCTAGATTTGGTTGTGGCCTAGAAAATCTGATCAAAAGTTAAAAAAACATTAGTACGCTAATTGTGAACAAGTTGTATATTATTTTGATTTCAACGGTATTTTATTCGTATGTTTCGATATAAGGACTGATACTTTCATGCCTCGTGCTTCCTATTTTTCTTGCCTGCAAAATGGCCTGGTACTCCTTAGTAAAGCTTCATTACAATGACAAGGATTTTCGTGAAAGAAACTGTTACTATTCTTAGTAAACTGCTACAAATATAGATGATTCTGACGATGATTGCATAGGTTCTCCGAAAAAAATTATGAAAATGTAACCAGTTTACCGTTGAAGCAAGACACGAAGTGGTTTCATGAATTCCCATTTGGTTTTTTTGGTTTTTAGATACAGAATTCAAAAAATTGAATATAAATTGCTTATTTAATCTGATGGTACTAATGTATTCTGCTGATTTTGACTGATGATTACAATTATTACTAGTTTTTATTGTTTATGAAAAGTCGAAAATCTATTTTTTACATTTACACGGTTCTTCGTTAATATATTTCTTATATCATATGTATGAATTGGTCCGGATCTCGGTATCAATACTAGTGATTGGATAGGTTCATGTTGTATTTCAGCACTGAATCCTAAAACACTCAATGCTAGAAGTATCCTCTCTCTCAGATGTAGATTTTAGCCATCCACACCCCAAGAGAGAACTTATTAGCTATCCTTTTTATTGGTTGATTTTGGATCTGCCGGTATAAATACTATCGTTTACGTAGGTATTGATCATGAAATGAAGTAAAGTTTTGTGAGGGAGTAAGTATTTACAAGAGCAAAAGGAAATCCTTCGTCCATTCGTGTGTAAGCAATTCTTCCTGATTATAAATACAATTTTGTATTAGTCGATGCTTATTTTTTAGGCATATACCCCTATTTCCTCTCCACAAAACAAATGCTGATCGTACTATACAGAGTGGCAGAATAAAGGGGTGAGACAAGTAATAATAAATATCTAGACGATGAAATGTTCGCTACAGCTTTCGTGTTGACGTACTGCTTTCTTGTTCACGGATTACCAGTAGGTTTCTGATTCTTGTTACATAAATTAAAATATTATTTTCTCGCACAGATGATTGAGAAACCGACCACTGAAACTGAGGAAGTTTTATCGAAAGAAGATTATCCAGAATTATCAAGTGCGTTACAAGCTTTCAGGAAAAATAAAATTTATAAAAACAATTATTTCTACTTATGGGTGACAAATTCGAGGGCGGCTAGCTCGTTCAAATTAGTTGTAAATTTTCGTCCAAAAAGAATGCATGAAAATGAAAATATTCGTGGTAATATTTGAATAGATTCTCATGATACTATCGACAGGACGAGGATTAGCCATTTATGGTGACGAAAACCGCTGGCCCAAAAATATCATTCCTTATGATATATCGGCCATTACCGGTAATGCGAACGATTGCAAAATATGTAATAATATATTTTCTGATAGACACACTTCATCTCAATCTGATCACAAATGCCATGGAAACACTTATGTACGCTGTTGGTACGCCCAACTATCAGTCAACCACACGTAATTCTTGCGTTTATTTTCGACCTAAAAAGGAGAATGACACAAACTTTTTAACTATTCAATATGGAAAAGGATGCAGCGCAACGGTAAGTGATAACACTAATATTGGAAAGGCTATGACAAGAGAGATAAGAGACAGAAAAATGAGCAATACAATTCAAATAGGCATAATTTTATGCTATCTATTGCGATTTCATGTTCGCACTATCATACATCTGTTCGATCCTGCTAATTGAATCACATTAATGAACTTTATAAATGAATGGCGAGCACTAATCTGGCACACAGTTCACAATCATAGATTGATTATTGTGAAAGTTCCCGCTCGATCTGCACTACGTCTGATTCATCGGAGTTTCATTCTTTGTATTTAATAACAGATTGTCGATGCCTACAATAGTGTCAACTGTATTCAAATCGTATAGACTTGATAAATTTTCGTCAATCGTTTTCTTCCTTATTAATATTTATGTAATCGGCAATATTTGACGCTGCATTGCGTTCGCTTATTATAATTGCAAATAAATGTAAAAATAATTTAGCATCAATACATTTCACTAAGTTTCTGCTTCATGTTTCTTGAAGAGTGACATCATGTCTAGTAAAACTATGTCGTTTTTAAACAAGAGGATACACTGTACCCTTCTCTTTCGTTGCAGGTGTTATCTATTAGAAAACAAATGGGTTCCATGTAATTAAATCACTTTCACTACGCAAGCTTTCTAGAAAATTGATCGTATCATGTTTATCAAATCTGTCAAGCTACCGTTGTATTGAGATCATCAGATAGGAAAAGTAACCTAGAGTATAAGAACTTCATTCAGTTCATTCGATCTTAAATTCGACACGGGCAAATCATTGATACAGAATCACTGAAAGTGATCAAGGGTGCATCCTAAATACTTGATTCAACCTAATTTTTTATATATAATAAAGTGTGTGTTTGAGTCTGTACGAATCAAGAGCATACACAATAGAAATGGTGCACCACAATGATGAACTACGATGTTTCTAAAGATTAAAGAGTTTTCGACTATAGTTCGAATGTATTCAACGTCTCTTATACCATAGTATCTTTTAATCAACAGATCACGTTGTAAGCGACTTGATACATTGAAAAGTATATGAAAAGTTCCCATAGTTGGTTGGGTACTAAATATTAGCACGAGAAGTTCATTCCCTTGCCTTTCAAATAGCCAGATAATCATGCTTAAATTTCGGTACCCTCTCATTCGACACCGTATATAAACTAGAGAATTGACACGTATATGAGACACAATTGCAGTAAATTTGATTATAGTCTAAGTGGAGTAAAGTCGGAAAATTCGATTTAGAAATACTGAAATAGAAACTGAAAAGCAAATCTTCTAAGAAAAAGCTCATCCCATAGAAGATTTATTTAAAGAAATGATAGAATCAAGCCGATAGTTGAAGATAGTTTCAAATATTTATGTATTCATCTTCTAATAAGGAAGCTACACATTTACGCTTGCCATTCGGTTGCCAATATGATGGACTTTCCAAACACCTTCACCAAAAAAGCCGTTAGCGCAATCCCTTCGGGATTAAAAAGTGAAACACGATATAAGTGTTAATTCTGACCAGAAAAACAAATTATTCCATATATTTCTGAACTTTTTCTTTCATTATACTTGAATGCANGAGGGGGAGGGGTGCACATTTTTTACACTAAACACTTCAACACTCCGTTCAGGTCGTGTTTCACAAAATTCATATATGTCCCACATATGTAATCCTTACTCATCGTAAGATTCTGTAGTCTTTTTGATGCGTTTTTCAAAATAATGAAGTAATGCTGAGAATTATTGTCTGTTGCGGTAGTTCTACTTGGGTTGTATGTCAGAATCCTGATGTACAATGCTGCCACTATGAAAAACATTGCTTTGTAGATTCATTTTAGTCTCTTGTGCTTGGTAGGGATCTAATAGATTTTATGTCAAAATATCGACCTGCAAGAATATTTTCGACATCAAGCTGATTCAATTTGATACACTAGAAAGGATTTGATAAATTCATTCTTTAGTACATTTTCTATTTGTCGTTCACTATTCCTCCTACAATACTAATATATCTCAAAGTAAAAAATAATCTTTCCAAAGTGGTTTGAAGGGCTCAGCTTGTGTACCACGACGCGCTGGATAATTTTCTGATATTGTTCCAAGGAATAAGCTTCACTGAATGTTTTGATTCATTATGTCATCATTGTCATACTCGCGGTGAAGCTCACGTTGCGCAATTTATTCAAAAAATTCTCCTTGGAAATTATTAAATGTTAGAAATCACAGAGCTAGTCGTTTTTCTGAATAATTTCAAGCAAAAATGGAGTATTTTGATAGAATTAAAAAGAGGTCCAGGATTTCTTTGGCCAAAAATTCAACTCTTGATTGTGTATTGTTCTGTTTTTGTCACCTAAATATATACAAAGAAATATCCTTCGAAAGTGAAATCATACATTGTTCTTTTAAAACTTCCTACCTAGATTGGTAAAATTGCTAAAATGACCACTCAGGATTTTGCCAAAAATTCTTACATCAGAGATCTAAAAGAAAACGATCAAAGTGATATTTTCGAACAAGGTCGAATTCAGACCAAGCTTATATGGTCAGTATCTGGGAAAGTTATGAGTCACAGTGAACTGGAACGCAGTTCTGTTGACAACTGGTGGTTTTCTCGTGAAATCGCGAAAAAAATTGGTTCCCTAACAGTAAACTTCTATGTCTTTTATAACCGATTTTTTCAGTGTAGTGCGTTGGCCCACTGTTCTTACCAGTCTTTTAATTGATTTAACTGCTTAGAAGGAGTCTGAAAGTATGTCATAATTTAACTTCATTGCATGTTGCTTTTTCCTACCGAGGTTCCAATCGATGTTTCGAACGTAATGCACAACGAAATTTTATTGGAATTCCAACGAAATAAATAGAGTCAAAATTGAAGTTTCATTGGACTTCGTGGAAAATGTTCTATAGTTTTTTCCGCTTGGTATTGGAATCAGTCAGTATTGTTTTTTTCTAGTATTACTAATTTTGAACCATGACTATCAAATCCAAATATTTAGAGGAGGAATTATTTTTAAAGAAACTCTGGAGAAAAAAATAGAAGTAATAAAGTAATGAGAATGATTATCAGTTGCGGAATAAGGATAATAATAATGCCGGACGCCTAACGTTGAGCCAGTGATTGGAAAGTTTTTCCTACATATTATCAATAGAAAAACGCAGATAATCATATTTATTCTAAATCACTGATCAAATTTTAAGTCATTTATAGAATAGGCACAATAAAATAGAGAACCCACTCTGCATAACAATTACTCTTGCTTCTTGAAACTGAGCAAATTAGGTTTGGTTACTATCACATATGGTGATAATGAAACTATTGTAAATTTTGAATTTTTTTCCAATGAAATAGTATCCCAAAGTTTCTTAGATAGTAATACAAGATTTTATTCTTGTGCATCAAATATTTCACCAGTCTTGTGTTTTTTCTTATAATCTAAAATACCACCTCTTGGCACAAAATTTGTATTTTTCTTCGCAATTCAATGCATCACTAAAAGTCATTGTGAGAAAGTTCATAATACCAGGAGAAATTTTGTTAGACCTAATGTTACAGAGGCGTTCCTGCGCAATGCTGATAAATAAGAGCAATTAAATTGAAATAACACGGAGAAAAGTGTCAACTTCTATACTCTTTGTTCGAGAACTTCCTGTGATCATGAATAGATGGTATAGGTAAGTAATGCTCTTTCAAGGTTCATGAGTATCAATTTTAGATAGCTCTTGAAGGGTAGTAAATAATTCTTTGGAGTAGCATTCGGTGAAGTCTGAATTTTCCCACTAATGGCACCCAAGAAATCTCCTTAAATTGCATTTGATCTATATCAAAAGTTAAAATGATATCGAAGGCGCTCTATAAAGAGTTTCATAGAATTGGGTTCATCTATTGAAATAGTTCAACGAATATCAGAGAAATACATGAAAGATTAATAGGATGGTAACCTATAACTGAAATCGACTATGTCTGACCAATCATGATTAGCCAGTATATTCTTAACGTATCTGATTTAGCGTTGATTCTTTAGAGTACATGGATTCATATAAATGAATTTGAATCGTTGATTAATAGCCTCTTTTATCTAGAAAATATGTGGTTTTAAATATTCGACAAATTAAGCAGTTATTTCTATTGTTTGATAGGTCGGCTTCAGAAAAAGTCAGAGAATAGTGATGCATCTTGCGAAAAAAGGTTGTTTTAGGAGTGGGACAATTCAGCATGAATTACTACATGTCCTTGGTAAGAATGCATTTTCTCGAAAAACTTTTAAAAGAAGAAAAGACTTGTTTTGCAGGATTCTGGCATGAACAGTCGCGGCCTGATCGCGATGATTATTTGACTATACACCACGAGAACATTCAGGAGGATCGTGCAAGTGTTATTTTGATAAACTTGAATAACTTTCTTTGGTCTTGTAGCACCACAATTTTAACAAGTATGAATGGAGCTCAAAAGCCTACAATCAAGGCTACCATACGATTACAAATCTCTGATGCATTATGGAGCCAAAGCGTTCAGTAAAAATGGAGAACCAACATTAGTTCCAAAGCAGACCAATGCTGTCATCGGTCTTCGAAAAAAATTGAGCGAACAGGACATTGTTGAAGTACGGCATTTATACAAATGTGAGAATTAATCGTTTCATATGACTCTTAACTATATGTCTAGTTTTCTTGTTCAAACAATAGACGATACTATCAGAATATAACAAATAAAATGTATGTCAACGAAACAATACTTGACATCATTGAGAATTCTTCAATCTTTAATATTGCGATTGCATTATCACGAGATAGTTGTTGTTGATTCTAATTACGATTTATTGGTCGATGCCATATGTCCTACAATGACGACAAACGTTGATATGAGGGTCTCTGTTTTTTAATATTCGTCTTGCGTCAGTTATAGCCATCGCATGTTGCTCATTTATCATCAAACCATCGGTTACCGTTTTTTTTTTGACAGTTCTTCTCCTAAATTAATATTTTTAGTCCATAAATAGTGGATTGCTACTGACAAAAATTGAGATAGTCATTCCATAGTGCATTCTCTGATATTTTTCAATTAATTTTCATATTGGCTAAGTCGTGAACGAACAACTATCTTTATAGCGCCACCTTTAATAGATCGTAAACTCGAAAACTAGGTGATTATGATTAATGTGGCTGATACTTGCAGCTTCAGCGCATTTACATTTATAAGAGGATCGTGATTGTGACATGTTTTGAACGATTTTTTAAGAGTTTGAAAATTTTCACCCTTTCTGATGCAGAAAAAAATTTATCTGGAGAAGCGTAATTAACCGTATGGTTAACCGCCAGCTTTAGAGCGGTTTCAGCGACATGGGGTTGAAATAAATTATTAATGTTAACCTTAACTCCTAATTTTAGTTACTTTTTGTGACTAGTTATTGCAAAATAGCATTTTTATTAAAAAATAGGCTAATTTTATGAGATTCTCGTTATAAAATTAAAGATCAGTGCTATACGTTTGTTTTGTTAATTTGTAAAGTCGATCATGATTGCAACTGAAAATATTTACTCGCAAACTACTTTTATTCTCCGTTAGTTTATGAATTATCATTAACATACATGAACGAATATGTTATGTCTTAAACAAATAGATTTACGATAAAGGATGTATAGGAAAAAAAGAATACTATCTAACCAAACAATTATAATAATATATTCAGAGACTTAGAGACAAACGTTTTTACTGAAAGTTAATGTAAAACGATACAAAACCATAATTATTCTGAAAGTTTTCTCATTATCGTTGATTAATTTTGAAGGATTAATAATTAAGCTTGCAGGAAAAGGTCATACTTATATTGGATATTCATTCTTATTCTGACTAAATAGGAATTGAAACAGACAGTGGTCTCATAAGACTATATAGTGCAAGTTTGTTCATTTCATACTCTTCATATGAAAACAGTCTGACAATTTAGTTCTAATCAAAACACTGGAACTCCAACATGATCAGAATCCATTGTAGACTTGTCTCTATTTGTTTCTAATTTTTGTTTTTTTATATAAAAGTGAAAAAAAATGACAGTACGATAAGCGAAAAATGCAAAGTTCGTTGGAAATTTTCCCCTTTTCTGAACGATACTGGTACATCTATTTTGCATGAACTTTTTTTCAAAGCTTTTCAAGCACTAAACAATTGATTTCAATGCAATCTTTGTTAAACGCATATTTTTCGAACAGCATTAGGGGTTTGAAATACAAAGCAAAATATTGATTAAAAAACGATGCTATTGAAAATATATCATTGAACCATGGAGTCCTCTGGTAAAATAAACGGCACAGTATCTTATTTAAGTGCAATGAACATAGGGATAGTCAAGGTAGATGTATTGAAGCACAAAGATTGATTTCATTTTAGATGTGGCAATAGTAAATGTAATGAGTTGATTGCTATTCCATAAAATTCTAGCTGAGTCTGAAGACAAAATTCTTGCAATTTTACCACTCATCATTTACTAACAAAGTGTCGGCAAAAATCAAATACTCATTTTGATAAACTATCAAGCCTAGCGAATGTTATAAAAGTGGTTCGTTGAAATTCTAAAATTGACTTGCCAACTATTCGACAGATACATTTCGAAGAATATCGAATCATCTTGATTATTGAGCCGTTTAATTTCATTATGTACGATCGGTAAATGTGATCGAACAGATCAAAAACGTTTGCGTGTTTCTTTCTTAAATTACTCTTCTCATTTTGAAAATTGCTTTTTGAATTCTTATTGGTGCTCCTCGTTGCAAAATAGTGGTTGTCATTATTTCAGTATAGCCGTGTGAAATTCGTTGGATTCAAGAATATTTACATATTAATAACGCGCAGTTTCAATCAAGGATCGAAACAGGCCGGCCACCTGTTTATCATTATTTCCAAATTTTCAATAGAAAACTGTATTCTTTAAGCAGGAAATTTTAGTATAAAATTTTAATACGGAGGATATTTGCTCTGAAGAATGAGAAATTATATTTTGTCAGTTTGACTCAGTACAACGAGGAATAGTAATAGATGGTTACTGTGTTGTAGATTCTATATTTATGGGTGAATCCATGGAGAGCCATCCACTTTTTCGGAAAAGTTTTTTTTTTCGATTTTTTTTTCGTTCAAAAGGCTGATCTCGACTAGAAAACACTTTTGGTCAAAAAAAAATATATAGTGTCTATCAAAAATTCCGAGTTTTCGAGCATTTTCTCGGAACACCTATCATGAACTTTGATATATAGGGAAAATGGCATGAAATAGAATAGAAACTTTTTAAAAACAATTTTT